GTCAGGAGACACGCGACTCGCAGGGGGAGGAGTCAGGAGACACGCGACTCGCAGGGGGAGGAGTCAGGAGACACGCGACTTGCGGGTACGTGGGTCGAATTAGTAGTTGCAAGCTGAGATGTGACAAACACCCAACACGCCATTCCAGAATAGGGTGGACTAAAATAAAATAAATACATGCCTTTTTTTAAAAAAAAAAAGAAACGGTCCTGAAGGTCTAACGACAGTGGCCGCAGTTCTGTACCTTCAGCTGCTCCACGACGGGGTGAGTGGTCCATCTCTTCTCGGACACCTGGTGGTCCCGCAGCTCCTGCTCCACGGGCAGGATCCGGGCGCTGATGAAGCCCTGCAGGCGGCCATACAGCTCCTGGACCGGGGGCGGCAGGCCCTCAGGGGAGATGATTAGCTGGCCTGGGGCGGGACGAGAGGAGCTGCAGCTGCCGAAGGCCCTGCGGGGTCCTGCTCCTGGGTTTCCCACCGGGACGGACTTGAAGATGCGGAAGCCCTCCTTCACGGCGAAATCCCACGCCAGCTCTGCCATCTGCTCGGCCAGTTCCCCCGTGCTGGCGGCGTCGGCAGAGCTGGCCTGCCCTGTTTAGGGAGACAGAACCGATTACCCACCCAGCTCACAGCCTTTGCTTCTCCCAATTCAGGGTCGCAGGGGAGCCCGAAGCCATCCTTTTCAAGCAATGGGCGCCAGGCAAGCCCTCCGAAGTGTGAACTCCCCCGCACAGCCCCCAGAGCAGGCGCCCGAGGGCCCGGAGGGTCTCGCCGTACCTTTGAGGTGGCGCTTGTAGACCCCCTGCAGGATGGCGGCCACTCGGAAGAGGGAGAAGGCCATGTACGTGTTCCAGCTGTCCAGGCGCTCCAGGCCCATGTGGCTGCTGTACAGGGAAAAGATCTCCTCCGCGCTGGGGATCCCAAGCTCCGCCAGATCACACTGGCTGATCCCTGGAAAGCACAGCAAACCTCTGGATGTAACAATGCCTTCCCCAAATCCCCGTGCTTCCCATCTGTTGTGAGCCAGATCAGGCGGACTCCACCCCGGTGACACGTACCCTTGAGAACTGGGAAACCAGAAGGCAGAAAGTGTGCCAGGCAGCTGTAAGCCAGATCAGAAATGGGGTCCCCCAACGTTGAGAGTTCCCAGTCCAGGACAGCCAGGACCTCCGGTTTCTCCGGGTGAAAAATCAGGTTATCCAACCTGGACATGAAAAGGAAGGGAAGACAGGATGTCTTAGCATCTTGTTACAAAAGATGTACTGCACACTGTTTATCGAATCTCTGCCAACATTCTCCCCCCCATCAGAGGCCTTTTGGTATAGGCTTATATAGAATTACTTAAGAATATTACACAAGTCAGTTTTCTTTATCCTAACAGCGAGATGCACACCTTGCTTTGTCAGTCATGCTGAACTGTTTAATGTAAATCAACTTCCATAAAATAAAGAAATATCCAACGACCGAAACCAGAACAGTTGGTAACTAACAATGTATATATTAATATGTGCAACAATTTTATCAAAGTACTGGTACTTTCTTTTGAGCTTTTTTCTTTTAATTTAGCAAGCTAGTCCTGCGCTGTTTCGTCTCCCAACAGCAACTATCACCAGAAAAGCACCTTTAGGAAGAATGTTTCCTCACGTTCAACACTGGATAGCTTTAGCTTCACAACACAAAGAGACACCTCCTATAAGCTACCTCCCGGAAACAATAAAGTGCTTTTCCCTTTTAATAAGGAACACTCCCGCCTGAGATCAGGGATGCGAGGTGCAGGGCAGGGGGGAGCAGAGTGGCGCACCTGAAGTCCCCATGCACCACCGCCGTCCTCTCACTGCGGGGCAGGTGCCGTGGGAGCCACTCCATCAGCCTCTCCATGGCTGGGATCCGGCGTGTCTCGCTGGCTCTGTACTGCTTCATCCAGGTCTGCACCTGCCGGGCCACGTAGCTGCCTGAGGGGCAGGGAGACGCAGAGAGAGCATCAGAGCGCGAGGGCAGGGGAGATACAGTACAGCCACTAGCCAAGTTCCCCTCTCTAACAGCTGAAGCATCCGAGATTCCAATGCTCCTTCTGACTTCTGACCTTAACGCACTGGACCACAGTCATGGTGACACCCATCGCTGCACAATAATAGAAAATAAGAGACAATTTTCTGTTTTAGGGCATCTGTAATGACCAGGCGGTCAGAACATCAGTTTAATGTCTTGTGGGAAGTACAACACCACCTACAGCACAGTGTCCTCTGTCAATATACCAGAATATCGGTACAGAAATTCTGATTCAGAGGGAAGAGCACCACCTACTGTCACAAAAAAAACACTTTCTAGCAGCAACTGAGCTTTCCTTAGAGATCTGCCTTCCCCTGACAAGGCCTAGCCTTGTTTAGAGTCTAAGACCTGGTGAGATCATTATATACAGTATTAATGCTCCAGTTATATTTGTATTAGGGTAATATTTGTTTCCAACTAGCCGAATACAGCAGTTAGGTGGCACTGGTTAGCTGCCTCATGGCACTGGATCCCTGGGTTCATTTCTAGACCTGGGGTGCTGTCCGTTTGGAGTTTGTATGGTCTCGTGTTTGTGGGGTTTTTTCACAGGGTGCTCAGTCCCAAGACGTACTGTTTGGTTAACTGGCTTGTTGGAAAATTAGCCCTAGCTCATTTCAGTGTCTGTCTGTTTGTCTGCCCTGTGATGGACTGCCAACCCAAGTTCATTTACTTCTTCATTCTCTGTTCTACAACAGAGAATCTTATTCCATCCCAGGAATGAAGGCACATTTTGTAAAGTCATGTAACCAAGAGGCGAGATGCAGGACCATCCAGGTCTTGTAACAACGGGACAATCCCTGAAAGAGCCAAGTCTGCTCTTACCAGATTTCCCATAGTCCTCCAGCCCAACAGCCTTGATGTCCACGCTGTGGATCCGACAGAGGACTCGGACCATGGCTTCATACACCTCTCTCCTCTCCTGCCTGTCCATCCCTGGCAGGGAAGGATCATGGAATATCCTCCCCGGACAGTATTCCATCAGGAAGAATGGAGTTCCAATAACGCTACACAAACACAGGAGATGTGAATGGTTTTGGCATGTTGATAGACATTTTTAGAATGTGCAGTTTTAAGACTGCAGAGATGAGCACTTAAATTAAAAGATACCCGATGACATGTTTTAGACACAAACACATTTTACAAAATTACAAAGACCTCTTGATCCGACAGCCACCTATAATAAAAGTGCACACATTTGTCAGTTTTGATGTTCATTTCTCTACAATGAAGTATTAACTCTTTAAATGCTTAGGTTTTACTGCAGTTGTCTTATAAATGATTTCTTTACTCATCACACTACTACTTCACAGTCTCCTTGCATTTCCCTGCAAGAAGGCTGGAAAGACCTGGATCAGTACCTGCAGCTCCTCTTACTGGTGCTCTGACAAAATGAGCTAGAAAGCAGACATTAACCTTCCTGTCATTTCAGTTTCATTGCTTACAAGATGAAATTATATAAATGAGGACATCCGTAGACTTAAAAATCAACAACAAAAGGAAAACTACCCTTATAGTCCAGAAGTATTAAGAGATTGATTCCCTTTTTACCTCATAGAAATGAAGAGAGAAAGTGCCCAGAAAGAGAAACTAAGCAGATTTCATATCTGAAGGACTTGCATCTGTCTGTATAAACCACCCACATTAGAAAAATCAAGCAATATAGTCCAAAATACACCAAATATATTTTTCCCCAAAAATGTCTAGGTTACAATTGATAGATCTAGCTGTATAATGCAGGAACCAAAACACTGTACTACACTATAAGACATGGTGTTCACCGATCCTGGTGGAATATTTCTGAAAACAGATGTACTCCTTGGATAAGAGCTAGGAGCCATTATCGCCTCACTGAAAATGCCTATCTGTCCTGTACAGCAGAAGAAGATAAAAGGTTGGCACTATCCAGCCTTCTTCTAGTTCCCTGCAGGAGTGGATGGTCGCTGTTACTGTAGGTTAGCAGGTAGCAGAAGGGGCTGTGGGGCATGCTGCCATCACCTGGGGTCCTCGCAGAGGGCCATCACTTTGGGCACAGGAACTCCAGCGCTGCTCAGGGCCTTCAGGACTCTGCAGAACACATGACCGCAGTCTCACTGTGCTCACTGGAGCAGCATGGCATCAGAGCTCCATGAAATAATACATTTCAGTCTCCCTCTCTGTATAAAACATACCCCTGTTTGCAAACGTTTAGGCACCCCTGGTCAAATTGTATGTTTCAGTGAATCAATAAGCGGAAATAAATTGAGACAACCTCTGTGTGGTAGAAACTTAAACTTGTAAACTTTGCACACAGCTGTGAGTGGTGAACTGTATGCTTTTCCTGGTCTTGTTTCTGTACGGCAATGAACGCTCCAGGTTCTGTGTCGGCAATGTGGGGAGTGACAGGCGGGAGAGGACTTTACCGGCTCCCTGACAGTCCTGATAAAACTGGGGCGTCATGATCAGGGAGGCAGACAGAGACAGTGTAAGAATTCACTGGACCTACAGCAGGATTCATATTTATTTTCAGCTGATCACTATGTGCATGATAACCACTGTTTCTTTTAGTTGATCAATGTTATTTCTATGAACTTCAAGCCAATGCTTGATACTTTTCATCATATATGTCTATATACTGTATACACATTTGGTGTATGCCACAATTTTGGATGGCGATGGAGGAATAGGGCAGTTAAGAATGCTGGGTTTGTCTCTGAACTGTTAGAAGCTTTGCAGCTACTGACTGAAGTAGCTGTGGTAAAGTGTAAATCACATAATAAAGAAATGTTTCCAGTAACTTATGATGAAGAACAATAAAAATATATCATAATTATAATCCAGATGATTGGGGCATTGGTGCATGGCTACAGTCTGTGCTAGGAACATGGGGAGGGTCTCTGGTTCAATACATATTTGTGGGTCTGGTATTATTCGTAATGATCATATTGTTAATATCCTGCTAGAAAAACATGTGGACTAAAGCTGCTGCTTTTGGCTAACTGTACGCCCTGAAGGGAACATGGGGGTCAAAACTGATTTCATGGGAAAGGTCTCTACATCTCTTATCTAGTGGCAGAACCTGATTGGTAGAACCCTATGGTTCTAAGGAGGGAATGAAGAAGATAAGAGAGACGCCTGGGAGGTGAGATAATAATATCATTTCTTGTTTTTGTAGTTTTTTGCAAACTATGCAGTCTGGTGGCTTGAAGTAGGGCTTTGTGCTCAAATATATATAAAGATGCCGCCTGTCCTTTGCACAGTAAGATAAGGGACATATATTTGGTAAGCTGGCTGTACGCCCAGAACATGAAAAGAACTAACTGTTGTCTAGTCTGATATAATTAATTGGCATGTGTTGCCGTCTTATAATTTGTCATAGTAACTCTTTGTGTTTTAAGGTAGAAAGGACCATCTTCAGCTACTTATTTTTTTAAGTCTGGTGGTTGCAAGCCGGACTTCCATATGCATATGAATGAAGAGACTTCTGCTTCACAGACACCTGAACTTTGTCATTTGTTTGACACTACACAAGGAAGGGTTACTTATGTACCCTATACCATTATGTAACCATACACACCATATACTGTAGTACATCATGCAAAGGTACAGCGGTACAGTGGTGGTCATGGTTATTTGAGAGTGTGGCTTTACATGACTGTTCTCTCCACCGAACACTCACAAATCTCGAGACACTGCCGTACTGTATTACTGTTGCGGCCCTTATCTGTGGTGCATTCCAGAAACAGATTCAAGCGGCCTTCAGAAGAACAGCGAGGCGAATGCGCAACAGAAAGAAGGGCAGAACAGCACACACCTGAACTCCCTCTCCACGGCGTGTGCAGAGGGCAGGAGAGCGCCCGGGGGCTTCTTCCGCAGGACCAGGCGCCGCCCCCCCGCGGTCACCAGGTACGTGGGGTTGGACTGCCCGTGGCTGAACTGCCGCACGCCGAGTGGCTCTGGAGCAGCCGAGAGCAACAGGCCATCAGGGGACAGAGAAGAAACAGCAGCCTCCCTCAGTACGCCAGGGGCCCCATGACACGCACTGCTCTGCTAGTGACGCCACTAACCTGGCTCTCAATCAGAAACCAAGATGAGGAAATCGGGGCACTCCAATGAAAGTCACGCCAATTAATATGCAAAATACACACATCGCTCACGTGTCAACTCTTCAGGACTGCCCGTCAGCTAGAAGACTACTGCTAGACACACACACACGTACACACACTACAGGCCAGACGCCTGAACTGACACAGACACGCACGTCCAGCCAGGAAGGTCGGAGCACCTGGGGACTCCAGGGACAAGACCTCCCGCAGGTGCTGTCCCAGCTGCTCGAGAGGGAGAGCCATCTCTGGCCTGACGGCGCGAGTGCCGGGGACAAACCCGCTCAGGGGGAAACCCAGCACGCCCTGCAGCTCCCCTATTGCAGCTCCCGGGTCTCCAACCTGGCGACGACAAAAACACACACGCACTGATCGCCACAACAACAAAAAACCCATCCTCATTCTGCACTCGGGTCAATTTCTCAACTGCTGCTTTTACTCGGTTAGGTTTCTTTGTGTTTTTTAACTTGTACTGCATTTCAAATCACACTGATTATTATTTTTATATATATGATTATTACTAATGTCTTCAGTTGGCTTATTTTTCTAAAGCAATTGACTTTTACACACATTTCTGCAACCGGGAACTTGGCTGAAGCCGAATGAAGCTCACTGATCGAGGGAACGAGACCGGTGCCCATCGGGGAACAGTCAGAGTCTGAACCCTGCGAGCTCTGCACTGCTGCCTGAGCTCTGCACTGCTGCTTGCTCCCTGCAGGCCGTCACTCGCCTTGATCGCGCGAAAGCCCAGCTGCTGCGCCGCCGTCACGTTCTGCCCCACGTCATCCAGAAACACGGACTCCTCCGGGAGCACCCCAAGGCGCTCGGCACACAGCCTGTAGATCCTGGGGTCAGGCTTGCACATCCCTTCAATACAGGACTCCACAACCTGCAGGAAACAGGAGGACCGACACGGTCAAGGCCAAACCCACACTCCCCCCTTTTCTAGTGAAGAGCTTCTACTTAGGAAAGAAGGAAAACCAAATATTTTAAACAGGAATCGTTAGGTATCCCATGACAGAAGCAGGTGAGGAACGTTTCTAGCATCTCTTTCTTGCTTTGAGTCTGAAAGAGAGTTCATGTCTTTGGAACTAGGGTTGTGAAACTGTCAAATCCAAACAATGAGAATAAAGAAATGTTTCCCAAGGCTTCTGCTCAGATTAATTAATTGATTGAAACAAACAAGCAGGAGCAAGGCAGAAGCCACAGAAAACCCTGGGGCTTTGGGGACTGGAGACTTTGTTTTTAACAGGAAAGGCTAGACGCACCACACTGAACTGGGATCGGTCCACAGGGAGGAAGGTCTGCCCGTCGTGCAGGAAGAAGTTGTTGCTCAGGACGGCCGTCTTCAGGCCCTCGGCCCGGATGCACTGGATGGCCTCGGTCATAGCCGGCAGCTGCTGGGCCATGTGTCCCGTCGTGAGCTCAGCAAGGAAGAGGTCCACTGGGACAGAGCAGCCAGCCTGGGACACGGAGGGCAGGAAAACGTGTGTTGAAGAGGCAGGTGACCTACTGCACCTAGATCAGCTTCCTTAAACACTTCCTCTTAAGTGACGCCAATCAGGAATTAAAGATTAGAAATATTTGGATTGTCCACCCGAGTACTGTATATCACAAACAGTCAACAGATAGAGGTACCAATAATTTCAATGGTTACTCAGTGAAATATCAATTTATAAAGGAATTGGGCTCCAGGCACTTTACAAAAGTTAAAAGACCAACTCAGAGCCAGATGATGTAATTTTACCCATTTGCAACTTTCTTCTATTCTTTACAGCCTCTTCCCAGACAGGCTCCTCTTCAGCGAGTGCATGGCCACCACATTCCCGAGTCCAGCGGATCATCAGGCTTGAGCCTGTCCTGGCTTCTATAGCGTTTAGAGTAGAACACTGCTCTGCCCTGGATGGGATACTAGTCCACTGCAGGGTTACCCTCAGAAACTGGGGCACTGCTGGGTGCACTGGAGCATCTGGGGGTAAAGTACCTTGTTCAAAGGTACAACTGCAGCATCCTCAGCTTTCCAGTAGGGGGTCTGGAGCCCTAACCCCTGCTCTACGCTGCTCTTTCATATCTCATTTAATAGGATATAAAACATTTCCCACTTACCATCTCTGCACACTCTTTTCCAAAAGCATCGATGAATTCCGCTGCGCTCATCTCTCCTGTAATGAACCTCTTCCACGCGCTGCTCTTGTCTCCCAGTCTCATGCCTTGGGCTATAGTGCCAACAGGCACAGCATGACGCAGCTCCAGCTCTGGAGACAAGAAAGGACAGGCTGTGCTAAACTGAACGGACTAACTTTGTGGATGCCTTATTCTCCAAGCAGAACCCGAATGTTTGGATAACAGAATAATCCAGCTTCACGCCAAGTTAAAGTCGCACTCACACCAGGGGCAATTTTCCCAGAAGCTGACTAACCTGCTAGTACGTCTTTGGACTGTGGGTGGAAACCCACACAAACCTGGGGAGAACATACAAACCCCACACAGACAGCACCCCGGGTTGAGAATCGAACCCAGAGCCCCAGAGCTTCAAGGCAGCAATTTTGATCACTGCGCCATCATGCTGCCCTCTTTTATATCTATCTATTTTCTAATTGCTTCATCCAGTTCAGGGTCGCAGGGGAGCTGGTGCCTTTTCTGGCAAGCAAAGGGCAGAAGGCAGGGAATGTCACACCATTACAGTGTAAAATGTTTCGTTTCAGATAAGTTAAAGGTTTCAGTAAGTTACAGGGAAGGTCACAAGGACTAAGTCAATTTGTGTGACTGTTCCAAGAAACCTTTTTTGGGACAGATTAAAAACTCAACAACAGGGACAGACAAAGGTGGGCTGAACTGTGTAAAATATAGCCTTAGTAAAAAGCCTGAAGTACTAATCAAGGGGCACACAGTGGGGCAGACAACCCTGGGACCAGACAATCACAATCCAGCAGGTTTATGGATCTAAATCAACTGAAACATTTTGTATTGGCCACATACTGTATCAATTAGGCTGCCAGGTTATTTTGATTTAATACTAGACTTTCTAGTTAGAACAAACACAGTACATCACTTCGCCACCAGTAGGAGTTAGTTCTCAAAAGAAAAACCATTAATCTCATTTTACGAGCCTTATAAATATTATCGGGAGAGGATATCCAAATGTTTCAAGATGCCTCCATAGCTCATACATCTGCTCAACTTGCGCTGAAGGAGGTGCAGTCTTGCTCGGATCTCTGTGGGCGACTGAACATGTGAAATGTACGAGGCAGCCTGGCTAAAATAGTTCAAGAGGCAAACCTAAGCTCTTTGAATTGCAATCCGCGTTTCTTGCGCTACAATCAAAAATATTTCCCTCGAAAAGCATTTTCTTCACCCACCTGCTGCATTCTTGTATGGAGACGGCAGGAGCACACCTCCCATGTCGAAAATGACAGCTTTGTACGTCCGGACATGTGCCCCACCCTTCACAGAAGCTTGTCTGAGTGGCCACTGCACAGAACCCAGCTTCTCCAAGCCTCTGAAGAACGGCGAGGAGCACCGGAGCAGCCGGGCAGCACACATCACTGGGCTTTCTGCATTAGTAGATGACAGAGATTGTTACATATAATATGCATTATAAAAAGGAATATAATAGGGGCCAATGTAGTTAGAGCCAAAGAAGGTACAGAATAAATCAGATACAGCCAACCCTGGACCAGAAGGTGTTTTATATCATCCTTAAAGCATCAGTTCATGAATACTTGCGAAAATATAGTCAATAGCACCCAGTAACTCACAGCTGGCAGCCCACTGAAGCTCAACAGGTGTGAGCCTGGTCAGTACCTGGATGGGAGACCTCCTGGAAAAGCTAAGGTTGCTGCTGGAAGAGGTGTTAGTGGGACCAGTAGGGGTGCTCACCCAGTGGTCTGTGTGGGTCCTAAAGCCCCAGTAAAGTGATGACGGTACTATACTGTAAAAAAGGTACTGTACTTTGAATGAGATGTAATATCAAGGACCTGTCTCTTCATTGTCATTAAAAATCACAGGGTGTTTCTCAAATTGCCCCCTGGCCTTAACCAATTATGGCCTCCTAATAATCCCCATCTCTGAACTGGCTTCATCTCTCTGCTCTCCTCCTTTTTTACAGGTGTACAGTATTCATATTTCCATATCAAAAGGAAGCTCTCGGAAGATAGAAATTATAAGCCTGACAGACATGCTAAGCTGGTTCTCCAGGACCTGGGCTTCACCCCTCTCTGGAACAGATTTCCCCACCTCCTATCTTACTTCAGGAAACCAGGTGGATTTAATTCCAGGGTTCATCCTCACTCCTAGTGCCAGAGACCCCCAGCATGTCAGGTTTCATAGCAAACCCAAACCCCACCACCACCACCTAGAACTACAGTCACAACACAAAAGGAAGGAATTCAGACCCATCCTTATGACCTTGTCAGAGAACCGATGACTCCTGGAAGACACCTGTGCCACAGTCATGAGGGCAGGGAGTCACCAGACCCTGCTCAGCAGCCATAAACACATTTACACAGAGGAATATTAGACAATTGCTAAACTAATAATACTGCTTCATTTCTGGAAAGCCACACAACACTTTAATAAAATTCCCCAAACTTAAATGTTTTTTTTAGTATTCCTAATGAAATAATACTGTATATTCTTGTCTTTACTTACTTCCTAAACTACAAAGACTCGCCAACATTAAGCAACATTAAGTATCACCCGCAAGGAAACGGACGACTGATCCGAATTCTTTAGGGATTGGGGTATCGAGCAAGAATCATGTCAAAAAAAGTAACGGATAACTAAAATGCTATTTAGAGTAAAAAGCAGCAGCGAACACTTATTCAGCAAATATTTAACGCTCAGTTTATACATTCAGTTCTTTCTATATAGGTGAAACGTTAATACGTTGTACTGTCACAACACGATCTATTTAGTGAATCAGAAAAAGCAAATAACTTCTTAGTCGTCCAGTAAGTTTGCTATTAATACAGAAACGTCGCCGTATTCTTAAACTACGTTTCAGTGTTAAAGTTGGATTTAAACTCTGCACTTCAAACGCGACAGAATTTCACTATCATGTTTTTATTTATTGTGTTACGAAGTTCAAAAAGGTTTAGGCAGTTAATTTTCAGTCTACAAGACGATGTTAGTCAGGCTAAAACAATTTAAAGTAACAAATCATTTACAATATTACAGCGTGCTTTCTAGTTTTGTTTTGCAGCACGTGTAATACAGGTGTAGCAGAAGAGAATAACGACTTTTTAGTATAATCTATATTAAATAGCAGCGTAGCTTGTTAAAGCAAGAGTTCTCTTCCTGATCTCAGTGCTGCATTCACATTCATTTAACACGTTTTGCCAAGTTGTCAAAACATGCATCGCTTAATTTCCTAACGTCGGACGCTCCACTTACATGTCTTGTTTACTGTAACACTACAGGGCGGTTGATAGACATCCCATGTCCAGACTTTGCTCGGCGATTAACTGGAATTGCAGAAATGCATGCCCCCAGCTGTCTTTATGGGATAGCGCTGGCCGTGACCCCCGTCACATGACGAGGGAGCGCTTCTGCACGCTTCTCTAGGTGCAGCTCGCTGTTCCGCTTTCAATACGAGGATTTCGAATACTTTTTTTTAAAACAAGGTATCGCTTTATTTATGTATTTTATTTAGATTCGCGGGGGATGTTTCCTTGTGAAGTATTTAAATTTCTGTCCTCCCTTGTTTGTATCTCTGACATGAAAACCTGGATGACTCCAGATTTCCTTCATTTAGACTGCGATAAGGCTGCAGTCCTGCTTCTGGGCCCCTCCCATCAGCTGTGTAGAGCCCATACAGTAACCCTATCAGTGGATGGCCCTGCACTTGAGCTTCACTCTCCATTTGAAGAACTGCGCTGGCTTCCTACCAGGTTTCAAGATGACTTCAAAATCCTATGCCACCCAACTTACCACTTATGGGTGAGAACCAATGAAAGATCGATATGCCACCAACATATCGGTGACCTATGAAAATACTACAAGGACTGGTATAAAGAAAAGACCTTAAAGGCGTATTTGACGTCTGAGCTTGGCAATGACAGCAAAGTCAGTGCACATTTTGCAAAAAGAAGATTTGAGCACGTTTTGCTTTCCTGGAGCAACACTCGGGGGACTGGGGGACATGATGTAATTGTCACACCATTTCTGTAATTCCTCTGTGCATGCGAAAGATGCTGGATGTATAGTGCCTTTAATTACAGTTGTGTGCCTTGAATGCTTAACTCAGAATTGCAGTTTTGTAAAGGCGTCTTTTCTTCATGTTCTCAATGATATTCGTGTCCATTCAGGGAGGGAGCTGCGTCAGCACGCGAGGGCTGCACGGGAGCAGGTAAAGGCTTCTTCCTGCCGAGAGGTGAGGATACAAACACAGCGCTTCGGCTGGGGCGCTTGCTCACGCCTCAAGAAGGCTCCACAGCTGGATTGTGGGTTAGTTTTGTTTACCTTTCAGCAGGGAATCATCCTTTACCTGTTCCTTCGTATATCCATTCATGTCTCTCCCGACGAGATGCAGAAAAGCTAACGCATGCATTTCGTCCATTCCTTGGCTTGATTAATGTGAAGCGGGGCTTGCTGTTGTATCCAACAACATTCTTTACAAGCGGAAGCGTGTTCAAAACTGCAGTAATCTTAAATAAAAATGAAATATGTCCAGGGGCATACAGTAGATCTCCCGTTTCAGCTACCTCTCACTGGTCCCCTTCAGAATCAATGTGAAATCAGCTGCAGGCAACGATGATGCTCAAAGTCGAAAACACAAGTATTAAGTTTGGCCGTGACTTGTTGTTGCGGCTGCTATTCTGTGCTTATGTTTTGGTTGATTCCTTCATGTCTTTCTATTGCAGCATACGTACAAATAGGCATTTCATGGCACTTGCGCCTATGTCAAGTAAACTGAACCGAGATACAGAATACACTTGTTCAGTGCTTTTATAAGGGTAGCGCTTTCCCACTTATTACCAGTAGATGGCACTAGTGTATTCATTCTCTATGTCCATTAGCTCAACAGTCCCTGCTATGAAGGACTGTGGAAGGGGTTTAGTTGCCCTGTTTTCTCCACAGGACTGCTGTGTCAGTTTTCTCAGACAGATTTTTACATCTGTATATTTTCTCCTCAGTTTAATATAAATAAATCATTGTTTGAGCTTGGTTGCTTAATTAATGCTGAGGTGTTTTTCCCCTTGGTTACATTAAACTCAGCTCTGACCTGTAAGCCTCAGTACAGAACCAGAAAAAAGAAGGCACTATATCTCAGCAGCAGCACCAACACTACTTTCAGTGGCACAAACACAGCATTGAAGAATGCAGTGGGTATCACAAACTGTGCTGTTTGCAGGGGGGCAGCTTCACAGAGCATTGTAAGAAACCAGACACTGGGGCTGCCCATCACAGTGTGGCAGAGCTGTAAGAAGCAACAACTGACACTGAACTGTCCAGGCCCTGGGTCTGATAATTGCACAATGCCATGTGTGCCTGCGAGACTGCACGGCGCACGCCTCTCGGCTGCATTCCTCTTCAGTCACGCACAAGGCGGAAAGGCCGATGGGGAAGATTGCTGGAATTCTGGACTGGAGAGCAAATGTCTCCTCTTTGTGTTGTTCAGCAGTTACTGTCTTTGCAGGGACATTTTCTCAGATGTTGTCCCCTCATTGAAGGTAATAACTGGATGCACACGCACATATTCTATTAATCTACAGCTTGTTCAGACTGCGTTTACACCTGAAGTGTAAAAGAAGAAGAAACAAATATCGAATAATTATATCAATGCTGTACAGTACAATATTTACCACATTTATTTATTTTTACAGACACCATGTCACCTACAAATAACTTAATACATAATGAAAAGTATATTTACATTTTTTATAAAAACACAAACTGTAAGATGTGTGCTAGCAATGTGTTCTACAAAGCAGAGTGTAGCTCTTTGTATCAGTCATGCTGATGAAAAGGAGAGTAATTTCAGTATTGAACAGAACTATTTAAATATGCCAGTGACATTCATGAAATGTTGTTATGATGTTTTCTGTATCATCTGAGAACAAAGATTCATTAAATGCACATGCAGTCACTCATTATGCAAAAAAGCTGTAGAACTAATTATTTTATTTCCTAATGTATGTATTATATATTATACATGTATATGAGACGCAAATTGTATTCAGCAAAGAAACACATCGGGGAAGAGGACAGTAAGGTTTCAGATCAATAACTATACAGTAAAGTGTCTCATCTAGTATGACAAGATGGCCTTGGCTTGTTGTCTTTAAAAAGGCAGAGATTCCCAGTTTAGAACGTGGATTCTAGTTTAGAAGAGGAAGCTCTTCAGGCGTTTATTGTCCATTTGTCAGGTGGCTGGCAGCTATTAACTTTTTATGATGAAAATAAATGCTAAACGTTTTAAATCACAGCAATGGAGAAGGTCGAGATTCTGACCTCTTCTGATATGAGGTCCAGAATTATGTATAAAAGGAAAATACATGCAAGCTATATTAGTGTGTTCCTCCACATGGCTATAGAAAAGATGAATTGTTATAAAAACTTTTAAAGGATGGCATGCTTCAGCAAAGACCATTTAATTACAATCAATAGACTGGTACCCAAAACAAGGTCCAATTGTTCTTCCATTTTTGCTTAATGTAGTAAAGCTTTATAACAGAAAATTCAAATTAATCATATTTCCATGGAAAATTATGTATATTATACACTGTGCTTATTTCTGAAATGAGTACTGTGTATAATCTATATAGAAAATGTCTAGAAACTAGTAGCGAGCCTGTAGACTTACAAAAACTACACAGGAATGTCTGTAAAAAAGCAACTCATTTAAGTTTTCATCAAGTCCATCTGATCCTTAGAAGTCAAATATTATTCACATTTATTGTGTAAAGCAGTTTTTGCAAAACTCGTCTTGAGCAAGCAGTCACTGGCAGGATTCAGGAAAAATCAGGTCATTAATTCTCAATGTCCATTAGGTGAACACAGTCCCTGCTGTGATAGGACTGTGGAAGGGGTTTAAATGCCCTGTTTTCTTCACAGGACTGCTGTGTCCATTTTCTCAGACAGATTTTCACATCTACATATTTACTCATTAGTATAGTACAAATAAATCATTGTTGTGCTTGATCAATTCATAAATGTATTTCCCCTTTGTTACATTCAACTACCAGAAAGGAGTCACTGGAACTGAAGAAATTCATGGTTTCTGCAGCCCATTCATGTGCAAGATCGTGTTCTTTCATGGAATGCAAGTTTTCCGGGGTTTAGTTTGACGTGGATCAAAACAGAAATTTCAAATCCGGAACCAAATGGCATGGCATGAGTCTCTGATAAACAACTTGAGAAAACAGATGTTCTTAATTTCTTCCCAGTTTCTCTGAGTATACTGCAACGCCCACAAAGAGTGTGTCACATTTACTGTCATTTGTCTGCATACCGACCTGTGAAACAAGACCTTCACAAAACCAGAAATCTAATTTTGAGCAAGTCGTCCTAGAATGACCGAGCAAGGGCTGGTGAGAGTACACAGCTACCGGCCGTGTCACTGAAGCCAACACCTCCGGGACACAGCTGGATGAGATTCTCGGATCCGTGTTCTTTACTAACTGCCAAATGGGCTAGGTGGGCCTTCTGTTCTCAAAATTAAAAAAACTTTCAAGCAAACTGCAGACCATCTCCTCTTCACACGGGAACAACTGACTTCTCTTTCCCAGTCAGCTGGTCTTTTCCCTTTTTTAACTCGGGAAGTTAAAGGACTCGAGGAAACAGACATTCTGTTAGAGTCAATGGCAGCTGATTTGCAGCTTATCGCAGGCCGTCCCTTTGACCTCCTCGCCCGGGGGCAAGGAACCCCCCCTGGTGTGGCCCTGAGAGTCCCTTCGCGTGTCCAGACGGTCTCTGTGGCCACGGCCCAGGTATCCCATCAGCACCCGGGGCGGCCGCCTAGCTGGAGGTGCCTGTGGCGGTGGAGACCAAGGCAGCGTAGCTCTTCTTCTGAGCTCTCAGCAGGGGCGTCTGCGTGTCCGCGTCGCGAGTGGCCCTCTTCTTCATGAACCGGAACAGCCGCTGCGTCCAGCCGTACACGAAGCAGTTGAGCAGCCCCTGAGAGGCCGAGGTGAGTGCCTGCGCAGGGGAGAGGGCCGAGGAGCTGCTAAACATCCGGGAAATACAAGCTCCGCCTGTCTTGCTGAGCTGCTCGTACCTTATCTGCTTGTCAGTTCTCCTTCATACTCCCTCACGCTACGTTAGCTGTTTCTGCACATCTTCCCTAGCTACTGTACATCTTCCCTAGTGAGCCCCAGTTCTTCACGCTTACAGCTGTGTCTTCAGGCAGAGGGTGAAGGTTAAAATATGTTTTACTATCCCAGCCAATTATTGCTCAATTAAGCCAATGAGAAGCTGGTGGGAAAGGAAACCAGAAAAAAAGCCGTAGCCCGTTAAGACCAGGGATGGAGCCCCTCGACTGGATACTGCAGCTCTTGACTTTAGGGGCTGCCAGCAGCCTCAAGAAATCCTTAAACTGCACATACTGACTTCCCTGTCTGCTGTCTGCTCCTGCTGCCAGCGGGGGAACTCCAGCCTGCAGCGCTGGGAACAGGACCCGGGTCAAGCGGCTCGGCCCGCACTCCGGGGCCTTCCTGATCCAGCTCTGCCTGCGCCCCCGACGGCCCCTAGTGACCCCCTGATGTTTGCCAGTCTCCCAGGTAGAGTTTGAAATGCACGGGGTGAATATTTCCTCCTTTAGCTTAAAAATCTAGAAATTTGGATAAAAAAGTCCCCCTTGACAGTCTCGCAGCTGGAAATAATTTGCAAGCCCACAAAAAAAAAAACAATAGATTTGGTTGTGAGGTGAAGTAATTTCTGCAATGCTCCTCTAACATGTCAGATCATGAGATTTCTTTTTTATTCCACGAAGCTACAACCCTGTGGTTTTGTTGACCTAGATTCCCTGCCAATATATTGTTCTATCCCTTTAATGAGAAACAGATTGAAATTGATGAAGTTGTACGAGTCAAGTCTGTGCTCTGTGCCACTGCTCCGGGGGAATAGGTACGTTACCTGTAAGATGTAGAGTGTAACGAAAAGCTCCGGCTGTCCACTGGGGTTAAACAGCTTCAGTATGGCAAGGAGAACAGCTGAGGGCAGAAAACAGCAGGAAGGATGAGGCAAACAGTAACACAAAGCTGCTTAGTTAGAGGAAACCCCCTGCAATCCCTTATTATTTCATCATGAGAGCTGATTCATCTTGCACCTACCGTTTATGGGTCACAACACATCACAATTTGTCAATCAAATTACCTCCAGTGTCCCACCTCAAAACCTATTAAGATTAAATTGCAGCAAATCTTCCTTCAAGCAGTTCCTACGTTGAGAGTTAACATGTTATCAGCCATAATTCCCCATTATTTAGCTCTGCTTTCTTAAACAAAGGAAGAAAATGAATTTAATTTCTTGAGTATTTCTATCCTTTAGCAATGACTTAAAATATACATGCTCAACACATCATACAATTCTGGGTGAATCCTAATTAAATACGCAAACACCTGACTAGCTGTAGCCCACAAATTAATATTAACAGAAACAGGTCCAACTGTACGTCTGTGATGTATAGTTCATGACATGGTCTCTGTAAAGTTTGGATAAAACTAATTGCTAAATGACTAATCATTGTTATCAAGCAATAACCCAAAGGCAGATGTCTGCATCACTGCAGCAAGACATTCAGAACAATGAATGACACCAGTAGGGATCTGCTTCTTTCACTGCTATGGCAGGATCTCTGTAGACACCACAGCTTTGGTATCTCAAGCCACATGTCCCCTGGCTGGCACTGGGACAGTGACAGGGGGTCTGTGGTGGAGCTCATTATGTGTTGCGGTTTAGGAATGAAGAAGTCTGTAAATTGACAAAGACGGCCTTAATTAAAGCTGCGATACGTTCATCAGAGTGTTGTTTCCCACTAAGGCTCTCACACTTGGGTGAAAAGCAGCATCGCTGTCGCCACCCTCTGGCGGCTAACAAAAAAACCGCAGTTGCTTAATGAAAAAAACATGAGTTCGTGCGTGCCACACGTGCGGCGAAGGTGGTCTCCCGGAGGAAGGGTGCACCACTCTGCACTGACCTGGCCCCCAGCACAGGAAGAAGGCCGCTGGGTACAGCACCACCCGGCGCTCCAGGACGCTGATATTGGCCCACTGCTGGTCCCCTAGGAAGCCGCTGGAGTTCACGAAGCGCTTGTAGAGCGACCGGGCCTTCACCATCAGGACCTGAGAGAGGACACCCCCAGTGAGATGGGGCCGACTCCACACCGAATTGAAATCGACAGCATTTGGATTTTGGGGATCTTGGATAGGAAAACCGTGATTTAGATAACTGTAGGCAGTGTGGCTGTATTTTCACTCTGACTTGAGAAACTGATGATGCTGGCAAGACAGTGCCGAAAATGGAGAGTATGAGAAAGGAGTCCCTTCAGGCCACCTTACCAGTCTGATGGCAGCTACGTGACCTTGATATCTCATCCAGCCCTTTCCTGAAAGAAGCCAGGTTATTGACCTCTATAACATATTTCTGGACATCTTGTGTTCAATCCTTTTTAATTCAAAGCACGTCAGTCTTTTAAACTGGAAATGTTGATGCTGGTGTATCTTTCATCTCCCAGCTGCTTTGAATTCAGAGCAAGCTGAATTCTTACAGGCTGTACCACAGATGTTTCCGACTTTGATCCAGTTTCATGCAAAGCTTTGCAATCCTGGCATAAAGAGATACATTATAACTGGTGTCCACAGTAACTTGGGAAGATTGCTTCAGTAATTAAACATCTGAGTAATGCACAACCCAATAAAAAAACACTCAAAAACTAATTAATACAGTCAATGTCAGAATACATCTAGAATTTAGTCATGAACATGTTATAAATTCTTATTGTGACAAAACTGCATCACCAAATATTGCAGTAAAATGTCAGGAACATAAAAATTTAATTAATAAAGCGAAACATAACAAAATAACTATCTTTACTGCTGTAGTTGAGTGAAGAATTTCTGCCTTGAAGAGGTTGCAAAGACAATTTTAGCTTTGGAAGACTGCAGGGCTAAAAAATCTCCTGTCAGTCCTTATCAAATTTTCAATTAGTTTCAATATTCAAACAACACAATTTTTTCCTTTGGTGGCAGAAAAAAGCAGACAGGTCCTGGAGTGATCAGACAAAGCAAAAACATTAATTGTGTCGCTACAGCTTCAGCGCAGACAATCTCGTGACAGCTGGAGCCCGAGTAGTTGTGGACGCACATTTCATGGATCAGTTTCCTTGGCAACTGCCGGGGCTGACCTATGACCCCGCCCAACTCTTGCGATTGGCTAATTGATGGACTTCACCACCTATGCATGCTGATGCAGCTACCTACTTGAACTGATTGATGGACAGCTGCCTTTGTTTCTTCACTCTGTCTGTCACGAAAATCCCGCAGGTAGCAAAACAATATGACTTATTTTGCTGCTTAAGCAGAAGAACGTAAGCTAAGTGCTACTGTAGGTCAGACAGAGGGGACTGCTGAGCGACAGGTGGGCTCCACTCCACTGTTTTGTTGTGAGTGGACGGGTTCAAGTGGGGACACTGTCTCGAATGTGGTGAGCTCATCGGCCACAACACAGGATGATGCCAACTGATCTAAAATCGACGTCAAAGGATGTCCTGGACAGAGGGAAGCCGAGGATGGGTGCACAGGAGCCAGGCTGTTTGAATAAATATTTTTCACACGCACCACAAACCTGTGCCCAGTGTGTTCCACTGCCATTAAAACAGCATGCCAGCAGGGGAGCAGTAAGGAAACAGCTTGCTCTCACCCCTCCAAAACAGCACAGCCAGGGCTTGTTATGGTGTGGAGTTCATTAGGACACTCTGTTAGCTTCATTAGATTCATTGTGTGGGCCTGTCAACACAGTCCCCTGGCTCTCCAGTCAACTCGTGACACGAATTCCACATGGAGGAAAAAGCATGAAGCACAGCTCTCTAGTCGGGCCCTAACTGATCTGACCCATCAGAGCTTCCGAGTTCAGAATCGGCAGTTGTCGTACTGCAAACTGAAACTCTTCTGCACCAGCTCATCTGACATTGAAGAGCTAATGGCTAGATTTGTAATGGCACCAACAGTGGCTCTGATATAACAATCCACACAAGCAGCCACGGACTTCTAGAATGCTTGCTTTTTTACAGAAATCCAGTAGACTGCACAGTTTTGCGTAGAACAGTGAAAATCTTTTCTCATTTCAATCCAGACTAAATTGTAAATTATACATTAAATCCTTAGTTAATATGTACTAAATAGAATTTGGGAATCAGAAATCTGTTCACCCAGAACACAGTCTGACTGAAGACACAGGGTATTGTATGAGAGGTCTCCCATCTAGACTGCTTGAATATACAACAATTCAAGCATAACAGTTTAAAAACAAGTCAAAAGATGGGACTAAAGTACGGAATTAATCAGTCATCATCCTGTTAAATTTTAAATCTCTTGAAATCTCTTTTTTTTCCAGTAAACCTTTCTGATTAAAGAAAACATACTAGTTTATACTGTAGTTCAGTGATTTTATTCCCTCAGCGGCATACAATAAAAGCACATGCCTTAAAATTATAAACGAATAAAAAAATAACTTTGCAAACCAAAGGTTATCAGCTGTTACCAGGGTTGGGGCATTCTTTTAGTAATTTTGTTTTGGCCTATGAACCTAATTGTTCAATGATTGAGGCCAAAGCAGATGCTTGCAGCCAAGGAACTATGCTGATGACGTGAAAGAGCTGCAGAACCTGTCGGAGGTATTTCATTTGGGAAAGCAGTCCTTGCAAGTGATTTAACAAAAACACATTCATAAAAGGTGTTTGTAGTTCAAGCACCAGAGATACTGTCTGGGCCAATGAAGCTTTGGTACAATGCAATGTCAGATTTTGTCAAATGCACTTTGTGATCTTGTGTCTGTTTTGCTGTTATCACAGCTGAAGAAAGGCGATAGTGTGTGAAAGAGAAAGTCAGGCGATTGCCAGCATCCTGGAAAGCCCACGAAGCTATTGTGAGAGATGGTGTTGACGTGTCTGGCCGCTGTAGTTATGAAAGAGGAAGAACAACTGCAAGTGTTGTGTGGAAGGACATTCCCCAATGCTTTGGAAATCAGAGACATTCCTCTGTTGTAAAGTGGGGCATAACGCAGAAAAAACACAGCTATGAATTGTCCCAGTTTAACTTGTAGACCGACAGGGTAAACAGGGAACCCTCTTAATAAATCGATAAGCAAAAGTGACGCAGTCTTGAGGAATAAAAAAACAGACTTCCACCACCTCCCCAGGTCTCCCTCCTGTTAAATACCTGGTCTGGTTCCTTGCACTGTCTAATCTGATTAGTGGGACAACACGCCACAGCTCCTAGTGGCCGCCACTTGAAAATTCAATTTTTTAGCATCCCATTTGAAATAGTGGGATAGGTAACAGGTTAAAAGGCCCAACGTTAGAAACATGCCTTACTTCAGAGCCTCAGGGTCCTCTCTTTCTCCTTTCATTCTGAGCTGCTTGCACGTCCTCAGTCATTGAGGGGTTCAGTGGCCCAGGGGGCCTGGAGGGCTCTGGCTGCCCAGGTCCTGCTTTATACTAGAAGGCCAGGGTTTGAACACGACAAGCGGCAGTGGAGAGTAGTGCTCAGAGCTCTGAGCCCCAAAGGCTGCTGAAGCTTAATCAAGAATCTAGACTCCGGTTTCTGCTGGCGGCACACCAGCTCGGATGGGGATCTGCATTGCCGGGTTTAACCCTGTTTTTTTCCGTGCGGTTCTTCCCGCTGGCTCGGGAGCCTTCCGCCCACCCATCTCTGTATTCCTTTCTGGGTACGCTGACGGCAGAAAGCAACTCCCCCCAGCCCAGCCCCCGGCGCTGTCTCTCACCACGATGCCCGTGAGGGCGAGCAGGAAGGCGAGCAGGAAGACGCCGATGCTGTAGTAGTGCATGACGCGGCAGAGCGGGGCGCTGGCTTCTCGGGAGCTCGGCGTCGGCTCCAGCTCCCCCGTGTGCATCAGGAGGCACCTGCAGGGGGCGCAGCACAGGCAGTGAGAGGGGATCCCGAAGCCCTGCGCTCTTCTCTCTGAGGACTCTGGATCGTCTCCCCTCACCCAACATCCCCAACGGGCCGCCGTTCACACCCGCCTGCGAAATAACAACTGGCACCGGAAAGACAACAGCACTGCGTGCAAGTGATAACAATCGGTACTGTATGTTCCAGCTTCCAACCCGATTCCTCATTCCAGATTCCTCCTTTAACCGGTGTGACAACAATGACAATTCGTGTCTTTTTACAAACTGAAACTGAAAGGAAACGATCACCTCTACATGTGGGACCCTGTCTGCTGGGGCTTCACTCTGCCGCCAGGGCCAGTCTTTTGTTCTAGCTGAGTGCGGGAGGACTATACAAGAAGAGTTGTGGGGGTCTGGGACAAGCCGCCCAGCTGTGGTATTGATATCCTGGCTTCCTTCAAATAGGGGCTGGATGAGATCTTAAGGCTAATGAACTACTAACAATACTACCAACTGAACTAGCTAGATGGGCCAAGCGAAACCCCCTCATGTGTCGATTTCCTGTTCTAGTGCCTTAACTGGATATTAATTCTTCTACCTTGTGCAAATGATAATGTTTTCTGGGCTTCTAGCTTGAAGGACCTCATCTCCTCACGCTGCCATGCAGTTGGGCAGAACACGGTGTTTCAGGGAAAAGTTTCAAGCGGAGCAGCAAGGGGACCAAAGCCTCTCACTTGTCACAGACATGAGCGACACAGTGCGGAGAAGAACCTACTTGTACGGCTGGCTGACGTTCCGGTAGCACTCACAGGCATTCCCCACCCCGAACACTGGGGCCATGAGCAGCAGAGGAGCCACACTGCGGGGAGAGGAGGAGACCCCTGTGAGCACAGCAGCTGCCGCCAGCTCGCCTCCTCACAATGACCCCAGCGGGTTGTTTCACTAGAACCCGGGACCTTAACGACGTGGCCCACTAGAACACCCTCGACCGGGGAAACAAGCATCCAGCATCCGGTAAAGAGGTGGGGTACATCTTAAACGACTGTTATGGCCCCACTTAATAAATGAGGTAATAAAAATGTTGCTTTGTGTATGGGGAGTCTCCTTTTGTACAGTAGGTGTAACTTCCTCAAACCAAGAGATATGCTTAAGGGTCTTAGGTTTACACACATTTATTTTTAAGATGAAAATGATAAAATGATCACCAAAATCTTTCCTTTTAAAATCACAGTGGGGATTATATGCCGACTATGTATACTGTGTATAGTTTTGTTTCAGTAAGACTGGCCGCTCTAGTTAAGTGAAGAGCTCGTTCAGAATGGGTCCCATCTAACCTGCATGTGGCAGGACAGAGAGTCCAGAGGACAGCCCAGGGAGCATCACAGCAGGGAAGAAAGACAGGGCGATGAGAAACATAAAAGCTCTGTCCTTTTTCCTTTTGGGGAAGCCGAAAGTCCATGCAGGCACAAGAAGCTGGGTGTAAATTCTTTGTATTTTAGATGTGCCATTTTTCATGTGATTTCCAATTAGGAATCACAGTGTCTTCATGTCTTGGGCCTCAGCGATGCCCTCTGTACTGACTGGGTGACAGAAATGAGGAAGCACAGACAGGCTCCTCTGATCTGTTGCATTCATCCAATGACACTCTACCAGATTGACAGAGGCATACAGGGGGTGTGGCACCCATCTGAGGAGAGAGAGAGCTGATCTGAGGGAGCCTCGATCTCGCGATGTCTCAGCTCTGCACACCGCTCAAGTGTCTGTACCGGTTGAGCCAGTCGGGAGCTGTGTTTATAAATATTTTTACCTTGATAACACTGTGGCTATCCTGCTGACCCTGTAGGCTTTCTCCGAATACTGAAAAACAGCGAGAAATCAAACATCATTAGTTAACAAGGAAATGCCCCCCCAAAACTCTTACTAATACAGTGCGATACTAGCCGTTCACTAGATCATTCAGCAATGTTTTGAAAAAGAGAAATGCTTGTATAAGAAAGTCTGTTGGGATGACATCTGATACCACCTCATGTCTTTGCATTGAACTGTAACATTAACTGAGTCTTTCATTAAGACTTAACTGTGGATGCAGTTAGGTCATATCACAGATATCACTGCTGTTCATTACATTTTACATTCAATTGGGTACATTATGCAGACCAGGGAATAGGTTAGAGTTTTAAAATGCTGCCAATTTCATTTGGGAGTGGAGTTACTTAACTGTAGTTAAGAGAAAAGGCCAGGCTGTTGGAATAAACTCACCATAGGTGAGAAGGCATTCACATTCCTGTGGTACTTCTCCAGCAGTCCGGTGTACAGAACCCAGGTGTAGTTGACAGTATAGAAAAACGAAGAGACGTAGAATATCTGGAGGAAAAGGGAAAACAATAGGACTTCATTCTGATTCACTGTGGTGCTCGATTCTCTCCAGCAGTAACAGACTCTGTCCACCAGGGGGTGCTCAATGTGGGGGGGGCAGGAGTGCTGCAGGTCACAGTGTTTGCATTGATCTGCTCATGGCCTGGATGGCTGCATCGCTGTGCTCATCAGCCCCTAGAAAATCATTAGTTTACTGGTGAGATTGTCACATTCCCCCTTAAATTGCTTTATATTTCAGTTAGACAGTGGAATAAAAAAAAAACATAGCTGCCACTGAAGCTCACTGCTTCCACTACTTCTGCTTGAACTTTCACGTCCAAGAGGACATCCATGCTGATCCTCTCTCTGGAGTTAAGACTCCCTCAGCCCCGTGTCCATCTTGCTGCACACTTGCTGCTCAGAGGTTCCCCTGGGGGACAGTGAACTAACGACCCTCAGTGAGGGCAGCAGCAGAATCCCATTCCCCCACCCTCATCCACCCCCAGGAGCAGCTGAGCACCTGGTACATCAGATAGCAAACGGGGAATTGTTACTGGGATTCCCCCGCTGGTCACAAGTCTCAGGGTTTTCTCAACAAAATACCCGCTTATCTGGAGATCTGTCCCTGAGGATAAATCTGTCACAGGAGCTTCCTCTATGCAGGTACTATCAAGCTAAATCGGCCAATTTCCACAGTTCACCCCTCAAACATTTCATGACCAATTCTTAGAAGATCTTTCTCTGGCTTTTTTTCTTAAACCACTGCAAACTCATGGGCACAAGCTGGCCTTTTCTCTCCAATATACAACACAAATAAAATGAGAAGCCCGGGCCGCTGCACAACAGGCATCTTAACACTGGGAGCTGGTCCACAGCCTGGAGACGTTAATGAGTGTGACGGGAGGGTCTATGAGCTTCATGCATGTGCTATGGCACACACTGAACTGGCAGATGACGTGAGCAGACGGGCTCCCAGTGAATCGCCTCATTGTGACTCTCAGAGAACTGAGGGCGGCCAGGCCGAGATCATTCAGCACAGATCTTCCACTCGTTAGCGGTGAGAGACAAAAAGAGGTTTGGGACTAGTGCAGGGATCAGAGAACTCTTGATTTATCCGACCGTCTCCTGTATGGACTGGGTCTGATTGCGGTTCTTAAGGGTCTGTCACTAGAGAGACTGGAAAATTTGGAGATTCCATTCCCAGGGTGGGACGTTAACCGATTTGATTTTGTAACACGTGACGTCGGCAAGACGAACCTCACAATGGACACATCCCAGTCACCTGCTCTCCGAATTGGTCAGAACACACTGTGAAAATTCACATTCGTCATTCTCACTTTGCCACCACTGTTAGTACTCAACCTCAATTCAAACAAGTCTTAAGAAAACTATTCCCAGGTGCCTCTTTCCTGATAAGGAAAGATTGCACTCAACAAGGTGGCCTAGCCTTTGTTGACTCTGGCTAATTTTAGCTACTTCTGAGCTCAGACAGTAAAAATGGCTGCCCTGCCTGAGTAATTGCTTCATATACATGCTGGATAAACAGCACTGGTACCATGTCCTTAGATAATCATTACTTTGTCACATGCTGTTCCTACCTCGTCCTCACCAAAATGGAACAAGAACCTTCATGAGTACACTATGACCTCCTTATTATAACAACTGCAAACAATTACAATAAACACACAATACTACTGAACACTTTCAAGGACTGTACAATACTTCTGTACTGAGGTATTGAGAGGCTGCTACTTCCCAGTCTCTGAGGCCTGCTGCTTTAATATTCACAGTGCTTCAGATCTCAGAATCAATCAGCCGGCAGTCTACAGACCAAAGGCTTTCAAAATCTGAAATGCACAAGCACTTTACTGAGAGAGAAACAAGTAGCTGTTACAGTAGGTAGGCGCAGTTTCTACTACACAAAATGATGCTAACATGACCACCTCGTGATACAGATGAGTCAAGGTGGGAAGGCTGGGAAGGTGAGTCAAGTTTAAACTCTTCACATCTGTTCAGTGCAGTCTGAAAGAAGAACAAGAGCTCTTTGAGAAGGAAAATTTATTCGCAATACAGTCAAAACAGCACCTCATGAGGTCCTGTGAGAAACCAGAAAGACCCACAATTCTCATCGTATTCAATACACACAATACCTCAAATAAAACGTGAAGATCTCTAGACTGGGGCTTCTTCATTGTAAGTGGTAGAAGTACTGAATGAAGACAGCACACACTTTGGAAGATGGCTCTACAGCTGATACTTGTTGCTTTGCAGCCGACGCTGCTGATGCGGCTCCCGATTCGAGCTTCCACAGCGCACACGGTGGAGCGACAGAAAGAGCATTTCCTGAGAAAGTAGCTCTGATCGCAGACAGGAATTAGAGTGGCAGGCAGAAGCCTTCTCCTGCCAGTAGACGAGTTAGTTCAACTGAGCTTCACCTATTGTGTTACATTCAACATGAAAATGAAAGTACCATCTAATAATGCCTGACCTGATTTACACAAAGCAGAGACAGAGAAAAAAAGACTCCTTTGACGCCGCAGATTGAACCCTACCAGGTTTTGATATACAATACATACAAGTAATAGGTTTATTCCCTGCTGAAAAAAGGAAGAAAGAAAACACATTTCGTCCGTGGAGCCTTCTTCAGGTGTGAAGAAGGTTCCACAGCCAAAACTTTGTGTTTTCTTTCTTCTTTTTTCAGCAGGGAATAAACCTATTACTTGTTCCTTTGCAGCCTACACATGCTGATGCAGCTACCCACCTGAACTACAATACATACAGTATATCAAATGTATATTATTAAAAGCAAAATGTTTTCTCTGTTTTAACATACTAAATAATAACCTCTAGTTTAATACCCAGGATTGGATTTTGTTCTTGTGTAATCTGATAAAACAGATTGCTAATTAAAAAGAGACTTTCCTTATTGGGAAAATGATTAATGCAAGAGGCAGGATTATTTCTTCCAAGAAATTATTTTTTCAACCAGGTAAATTGAAATTAAGTAAGAAATAAGAAATATTGCAAGGGACAACAATTCTGTTTTGTTGTCTCCAAGTGAAGGCTTTTATTTATGAAACAAAAACCTGCAGTTCTGAAAGTAAACGTCAGATCTGATTGTCATCAAATAGCAAAACAGCAAACATTCTGGTTCAGCCACATTCCAATATTAAAGAAAATTCCCGGCAGAAGGCATGTGGTGTTGTAATGGACAAGCACACGAGACTCCGTCTTCACACTTCTAAAACAAAACCTGTAGCTAAACAACATTTTTTACCTTTGGACTTTTTGCTTATTCATTATCATACATAATATACTTTCATTATACTTAATAAAGAAAATTATGATAAAAAATGTTGCTCTGGTGGCAGAAGCAGGTATTGATAAAGCAGGATTTACCAGAAAATAAGATAGAAGACTGCCTGCACCAACACCAACACAGCAACACGTCAGGGAAATGTGGGTACACATCTGCTTCCATGCTGTGTGTGTTCTTAATACAGGATTATGTAACTCGAGGCCGTTCCCAAATTCTTGACTGTGAATCAAATATTTATCCTTCCAGCATGATTGTTTCTGACACGTTTTAAACCGGACTCATATTGACCCATCAAAAGGGTGAAGAATAACTATACCTCCTGTATGTTTAGAGAAACCGCGATCCTGACTCTGATTGTTTTTTGTTATCGAACAAAGATACTATTGAATTGTGTTTTCGATGCCGGGGGCAGAAAAAAGGATGGAGAGATTTAGGAAGGGGAGCCCTGGGGTGTTCTTGCCTCCCTCGCTGGCAACTATCTGAGTGCCACACCTCCAGTCTGCTTCACCGCCAGCAGTGGGGCTGTGTGTCGGCAGGCTCTCTCCTGCGCTGCTAATGGGCAGGGTCCCGTACAGTCTGGTTCTGATCCTTCAGAAGTACCCCTTTGCCGGATTAATCATAACTTTTCACACTGAGATCCTTATTTCGGCAGAAAGCAAAGCCTTCAGGTACAATGCAATGAGCCCAAAAGCAAAGCTGAGGGAGGCTTTTCTGACCCTGAGCAGAGCACTGGTTGGATCACATCAGGAAGAGAGCAAAACAATTTCCCTCAAAAAAATGTTATTCCTTACTGAAATTCCAGAGAAATTAAAAACAGACATAAATCCATAACCCAGGGCATTAGAAATGAGACCATTCTGATGGAACTGTTACCTTGGAGAACAATAACATACTTTCTTAGTCAAATGTGAACAGATGGAATAAGCTAGCAAAATATACAGTCAGGGCCAATATTATGGGATCTTTCAATATGACCACTGTGCAAGACAATACCAAGCTCTGATGGGTTGAGCAGCCCTTTCTCTTTATAAACATTTTACTAACTGCATTATACTGCAGCTTCATCTGAAATTCTAGAAGTAAAACACCCACCCACCCACAGAATCTGGCTGTGCTTTTGGAGAAATTAGATACAGATGTCTGCTAACGCAAATGCATTCAACATTCTATAAAATGCAACGTTCACTTTGGGACGTGTTTAAAAGCCATCTCATGACTCTGGCACGCTTCACGAGTCTCATGGTAACAAAGGCCTCTGCGGGTATTTGTTTTTTTTTTAATTACGGTGTACAATATCAGGCGCCCTCAGAGACAAAACCACCAGAGTGTTTATAAGTAAGAACTGGTAAACAACGCAGAGATCATTCAGATTGCGGATGTTGTTGTTTGTTTCCATGAAATCCACAACTGTGCAGGAAAGATGGGAGTATACATGTTTATCTTCGCGTTTACAAGAAATGCTTGGTTTAGCTGTAGCACGTGAACATTGAAGTCCAATCACCCTAACCTCCACTGAAAATTAATTTAGAAATGCTAACAGTGTGAAATGTGTTGTGCTATTTGTGCACATATACTGTGTTTTTACCTCACAGTTCCCCAACAGTTTACCGTGGTTTTTACATGCCTTCAGTGTGCAGAATCACAGGAATGCCAGGACACATTTTTTTACAAAATGTGTGCTACAGTACATATGGTTTATGTGTGGTCTAGTGTAGCAAAGCACACTGCAGGAAACAATAGAAAAACTGCAAAAGTCCTGTAGTAAATTCTCATCATAGAACTACTTGCTATTCAGTACTCACATAAGCACCCAAACATCCTCCAATGCATCTCATTCTCCGTTATTCCTCAGGAAATCATTTTTAAGGCAGCTGATAACTGATTTTTACAGAGGGAGAGAAACCTCTGAGGCTGACGTTAGTGGCATGAGTGTGCAGCCCCATAACTGGCTCGGGTCAGCAGGGAGAAAGGCACAAGATCCACTCTTCACATGGGCACTCAACAGGGGCTCCCAGCTCCCTTCCCCACCGGGGAAAGCCAGTGACTCAGCTCTGGGCCCTGCTGGTTCTAGGGCCTTCAAAGCCTTTAACGCATTTGAGCCACCCAGCGTTACCGAGGAAACCATCCAAAAGCCTTAATCGGCAACTAAAAAAGCTCAGGTCACTGTTCAGGTCACTGTTCTGTAACGTGGAGCAGCTTTATCAATATAACAACCCTTTATAATGTTGAACTTAAACTCTTTTATTGTTTTCAGTTCTAAAACGTGTCAGAGGTTGCTTTTAACTACTACACTTCTTAAGCAATTTCAATCGCCAACCTTAGAAGAGGCAAAAGTCTTGCAAAGATTCCAACGTTGGCATAATTAAGGGCGGCTGAGCTGCAAAGGCAGCCTGCAGGGGTGCGGGTCCCCAGGACCAGGACTGGGAGCCCAGGGCGCGGGAGAGCGACGGGCGACTCACCTGGCCGACAGACTGCAGGTTGTAGCAGACGGCGCTCTGGCTGCTGACCGGCTCCCTGTACAGCACGGCCCCGACGAGCCAGCTCACACCCAGCAGCAGGTCCGTCACACTCAGGTAGAACAAGGGCCGCACCTGCAGGAGGCCATGAGACTGTTACTGCTATTTCATCAAGAGTAACCGTGCAGCAGCGCTCAGAGGCCAAAGCTGTTGTAACCCTGTCTTGGGCATTTTTCTCCAATTTCTCCCTTCCCGCCCAGCTGTAGAAATGAGCTCCAGCACTGGGAATTAATCAGCATCCCCTTTCCAGCTCAAACGATACTGAACATCTGATCGCAAACAAGCGAAGGCCATTGAGCCCAAACTGGCCCCAGCCTCTCATCCGGCCGGTCCTTGAAAGAAGCGACTGTGATCTCGGGGCCCAAGACGTAATGTAATGTTACTTATCTCAGCATGGGGGGAATTGATAGCTTCATCTCTACGCAGACAAATTCTATCTTATAATGAATGACACTCAATGTGACAAATGAATGGCAACCTGCTAATATGTAAAGTCATGTCTAAAAGGGGTTCTGAACCATTTCCAGCTGTTAAAGCATGTGCAGTTTTAAAGAGAGCGTGACAAACAGCAAGTCTTTAACAAGCGGTTAGCTCCTAAGGAATGTTTGCCGAGTGTGAATTCCTGAGTGTCGAACTAACTACTACCTGTGCCGAATCACGCCAGGCCTGCAGAAAAACTCGGTCACGGCCTTTACCTCTGCAGCATTTTCCACAGCTTGCTCCATTCTTTACTCATGCTTCAGCTGAACAGAAGCGTGCTAGAGAATCTGCTGTGAAGGAAGACGGGGGATGAGACTTGGACACGTACTGTAAGAATATAAAGAATGCCTTTCGCATACCTCGGGTGTCCGGATTAAATTCTGCAGTGCAGCATAAGCTATGATAGAGCCCGAACCCACAATGCTGCAAAACAACAAAACAGAAAGGGTAACTTGCTTATCATGTTCAAGAACAAAAAACACCCACACTAACAGTAACAGAAATCCTAACCATATAGAACTTGTTAACAACTAAAAATTGCAAAAGGTCTGAAGTCTTGGGCAAGGAATTCTATGATTCTTTATAGCTGAGAGCTACTACACAAAAGCTTTCATCTAAACAGGATGATGGGGCCACAGATAAAATAATGGATATATGAAATAAAAATGGCAAATTTACTTTTAAATTTCATTTTTAATTTACCTCAGAATGGCCATGACCAGTTGGATCCATCGTACAGCATCGTACACCTTAAAAATGAAAAGAAAAGACTGCTTTAAAGAGAAAACAGATGTGTACAAGTTCTTGGTTCAGATCTAACACGGTAAGATTAATTACACTTGCTAGAGTCGCTATGATAATGCAGACTAAATAATTTAGATTAGAATAAACAAGGCCGATGGGTTCTTCAGATGACTGTCTATTATTACTCACCTCTTCCTATCCCACTGGTGTAATTCAAGGAGAATATTCAATTAACACATTACTTTCCACTTCCATTGATTAGGAGAAGTGAGAAGTAAAATTTACTGAAATATCAAAGTATTTTTTTATCTTTGAATAGCAGGTAAGAATTTCCCTATGTGCAGAAATAAATCATGATACAATCTTACAGTAGGTTAACAATAGGCCTTCGCTAAGCCCTAGCCTATAACATGACACACAATGGTTTATATACAGTAGATCAGAGGTCCTGGAGAGTCCCACTCCAGTTATTCTCATAGGAAGTTATTCTGAAATCCCAAACCCTGGGTAGAGTATTGTGTCTTCGACTCGTTAATTTGCATGAATTAACGGAAAATAATCTTGAACTAATGGCTTTAGCTTTTAGAGCACCTGACGGGTAGTCAGGAATGAAGGAAATAACAAATGAAAGTACCAGATCGAAAAAAACAAACAGGTTTTACGTCAGGGTACCTTACAAATTTATGAAGCAACGTGCATGTAGCATTTATGAATAATACAGCCAGCTCTGCATATCAAACTAGCAACTGAATTGCGGTTATTTCTGAATTTTGGCTACTCCAAAACCGTATCGTAAAAGTGAAGTATCGAAGGTTAAAGGCTTATTCCCAGGTGCTGCTACGGTTGGAACCTGCTTTCGAGCTAACTTGCGTGCGAAAGAGAAGCGCAAATTCAATCTGCAGCAGTTTCCCGAATTATATCCTGAGGGATTTCTTGAACGTCCAGCATATATTGAAAGTCAGCTCCTCACTATCGCTCCACCATCGAGAGCTGACTTGTTATATCCATTTTTTGTTTGACTTGAGGTCTCCCTCAAGGCGTAATCCATGATAACCAAATGAATTGTAGTAATATCGCACACTACTGCAGAGCGTCAGAAAACGTACAAAATAAATATTTAGGGCATGTTGTGCTTTTCAATACTTCAATTTCTAGTCTCCGTCAATATTTAAAATATATCATTGTGTTTTCTAGCATAACAACAAGGAATTGAATAAATATTATTGACTTCGAACTGAAATTCATGTTTCATACCCACTCGTATGTTTTTTTTTTCTCAGAAAATAGATCACTCACCCCAGTCCAGTCGTGACTCAGTACTGTCAAATTGACAATATCGATGTGCTGCCCCTCGTTCGGGAAGATGTGTTTTTGCATCGTTTCACGTTGCGTTTGCCTGGCGCTCCTAAGCGGACGGGAACAGAGGAACGAGGAAAGTAAGTCTTCTATAATAAAAAGTATCCTATTGCTCCCGATGAGTCTTCTTTCCTGGCTGATGTTCCTCCTGTAAATATTGACTTCTCCCTGGATCCGAACACTCCCCGGGGGCGTCTTCGCGTTTGCTGCCCGGCTGGTCACTCCTGAGCTTTTGAAACACGAAGCGCTGGAGTTTCCACTTTTACCCACTCTCGCGTCTCACAATATTTCCACAGTGCCCCGCAACACAATCAGTGCGCATCAAGAGTAAATAAACTTGTGAGGCTTTCTCCGCCCACACGCTACATCAACATTCATCCCCTTTTGGCAGCTCTACCTTAGAGGAGACATTGGGTGTGGGCTGGTGTTTTACTTTATTTTAAGACACGTTGGGGAGAAAAAACCGCCAGAACCTTCTCGCCAAGACGTTTTTTCGCCTTCTTTTTTAGGAGGTGAAAAAAACAACAACAACAACAACAACAAATATATACGTTTGCAAATCCCTAGCAGACTTAAAAAACAGACTGTGCATGTCTGAGTAACTCATACAATACCCATCCATTTTCTAACCCCCGTTTCCAATTAAGGGGTCGCGGGGGAATCGGAGTTTATCTCGCAGCAGTGAGGGCGCAAGGCAGGGACTAATAATCTGTTCGTCTAGTTTACAAGATACAAGTAAAAGGTTTATTCCCTGCTGAAAAAAAGAAGAAAGAAAACACACAACGTTTCGGCCGCGGAACCTTCTTCAGGTGTGTGACACCTTCTTCGGGTGGTTGACACACCTGAAGAAGGCTCCACGGCCGAAACGTTGTGTTTTATTTCTTCTTTTTTCAGCAGGGAATAAACCTCTTACCTGTTCCTTTGCAGCCTACGCATGCTGACGCAGCTCCCCACCTGAACTACTACAGATTACAAGATGGGCTTTAACAGTAGAATCATGAAAATTAAGTTGGCAAACAGCTTTGCTATATTACATTTTCTGCTGTCTTAAGATGTTCTTTGCATTTCCACTTCCCAGCGTGGAATTAACCTCTGCAGCCCCGCATGCTGGCGCTGCACCCAGATCAGGCTTGTAACGAGCGGGCATCTCGCAAACGTTTTTCTTTAACTTTATATAAAGCTACAGAGATATATAGAAAAGCAATAAAATGGTCTTTCTCGCCCTCACCTCTTCTGCTGAAATATTCCAAATATATATATATTTTTAATCGAGGCAAAATATTCACCACCCTGAAGCTTTAATGGATTTTCGAACACTAGCGCGTTAATGATTTTAAAACGACTTCTTCCGCTCAAGACCCGACCGCATTTGTCGCGCTTCTGAGTAACCACAGGCACAGAGGAGCGTTTAATATCCATACCGTCTGATTTTTCATGTGATACTGTAGTACTTAACCTGAATTTTCAGGAGAGCACCAAATGTCTGTTCTCAGGATCTTTAGGATACTTTGAATTGAAAGTCCCACACTGAACTGGAAGAAACGAATGCTTACACGTTGTGATAACTGATCTAATGAATACTAAGTAGAGCGGTATTTTGTTAATATGCATTTTGAACATTTAGGAATTCACTAGTCCAGTTATCTGTTCACCATAACAGAAGCTGAACTGTGGGTCAAAAGTTCTTGACAACCGACAGGAAAGGGAAAATACAGTATCAACAGCAGAAAGTTTACATATCGGGAATCAGTGCAAAATGATCTGGAAAACAGGAATGAGTACCAGCACTTCACACGTTTCGTTTCTTCATTACAATACTACAGTGTTTCCAAACTTCCTCACACAGCAGAAGCAGTTAAACCCGTTGTAATGCCCATTAACAGAATAATCTTCGACTCAGCTTCAATGCCGATTGAGGGTTATAAATACGCGTTCTCATATTTACCTCTACTTGTAATCTCCGTTAGAGTTCCAGTTTATGTCGTGGGTAGACTGTGGAGTTAACACACCAAGTAATCTCCACCAAGCATCCGCCTTTATTTTTTGCTCTGATCTCCCTATACAGTTGCTAAAATATATTTCCTAAAAACAGAAGTGGAGTGGACACTGAGATTCCCGAAGAGAGGTCATTGTGAGCATCACTCATTTTCAATTATCCAGAAGGTTAAAACTCAGGGCAGCTTTATGACAAAACGGGAATGGTCCTCTGCAGGCTGCGTGCTCCGATGAGCCTAAATTAACAGTTTAAATCCAGTCTCCATCAGCCAATGCTTATCTGCCTGCAGTGTTGCACCAAAATATAATACTTCTAATTGTTTGGCTTAAAGCAGTTAAACCTTTCTGGAAAGAGAGGAATGACTGGCCTGTAAAGACTGGTACATGCCACAGGATAGCAGTTTAGTTCCCATCCCCTGCAGGGGGCAGTTTGCAAAACAGTCCTGCTTCAGAAAGGCTGACCATCAGTATGATGGCGGATCAAACCATGCAGGGCGGAGTTCTGTACTGGGGTGTGTAATCCTGTGGAACACCGGTGTGTTGTGCTGAACTAACTCCTTACATCTGCCCTGGAGGAATCCTTTTATAACATCTTCCAGACATCGAAACGCACCTAAGGACAAGAGGACAGAGAGGTTTGTTGCTCCCAGCTCTTACTGTATTTTTTAAACAGCAAACATAACATATACTGTAGCATCTCTGTTTTAAGGACAGAGATTTCAGTCAAAGGAAATAATTTAAATTTGGTAACATTTCAAACAAGTAAGCATACATAAATGGGAAGTATAGAATACGCAATTTACCCTGTTTCAGAAGCATATTTGTGCTGGGATACTTAACCTAAGAAGTAGTGGCAGAGATTCACTACAAATCATCCACATCTGGTTGTGATACTGTGAGGCCTAATATTATTTTAGAAAAGGTGAGTATGAGGGAATGAACCTCAGTTCAGAAAATACACTCAGTGCAGCTCACTGGTAAAACAAGTTTTCGTTGGCTCGGCTGAGAGCTCTGTTATAATTCAAGTGACAAATCATATCAAGCAGCACAGGTGAAGAGGCTGTGATCATGACAGGCTTGTCAGGTGAATTAGTGTGCTTGGCAGGGAGAGGATAATTATACACAGCACAGCTGCAGAAAAAGACGGTAGATAATTTGGTTCAGAAACAGATCTAATGACCAGTTACAAATCCAATGCTACCTGACCCAAAGAATTTCCCTACCATGATAGCAAATACCATTCAAACAGGTACCAGATAATTTTCATCCTCACGAATGCAGTGGAGCTCACGGGCAGATGTTATCAGCAGCAAATGCTACTCAGCTGGGACAATGTGAGGATGGGCAGTGTTTGTTTCTGAGATGTTCAGAGAAGACATTCCAGTAGAGAATGGATGACTGGTCTTGGCTGAGGTTTTGAAGAAGGAGGTACAGTAGAATGTGGGATTGAACTGCATGTTCCTCTGGTCCAGCTAGTGTCCTGGTCAGGGGGTGTGATGGGCGTCTCTGGCCAGTGACTGGTTGCTAATAAGCGGTCATGTTTCTAACAATTCCAAAGAAGACCTCTTTTCTGAGCGGCAACATGCATTGTCAAAGCACACAAAGGGCATCTTTGTCAACACAGACGTTTTGCAGCAGACGGACACAAACCCAGATGGAGAAAATCCTGACAGGTGTGGACAGGTGTCTTGCAAGAGACTGCAGAGTTAAACTGCTGAAGGAAACTCTCCTTCAGGGTCTGCTATTCCCCTACATTTCTGAGTTCACAATCCAAGGAACTAAACTGGTCCAAATTAAATCTGTTTCCCCTCCCACTCATAATTCAAAACAAATGTGAATGTTTGGCAGATGGGAAAGTCTAAAAGCTTTATCTGCCAAACAAGAGCTTAAAAGACATGGCAGGGAGCAGCCTGCTATTACAATGCCTAATGGCTACAGGCGCGAATTTTCAGATAACTGGGCCAACTCCTTGATGAGTCATGTCTCTCCAGCAGTTTGCCAGGTACTCATCTAAACCCAAATCACATGCCGAGTTTTCAGCTTCATGAAAATAATATTTCTTAATAATGAGTCTCCACACCTACAGGGGTCACCTGCTGTACCACTATGGACATGATTGTTCAGTCACTAAGACTACAATGGATTAGGAGAAGACTTGTAGTCTTGAAGCCTTCTGTCCCAATTACAGTGTCATCCTATTCAATAGGTAAGACATGAGACAATTGGGGAGTAGCAAACAACATTCCAAATAGCCAAAAAGGTACAAATATAAAGCAGACCTTTGACTCATTGCACCCAATTACATGACTGCATTCATGAAATGTAGCCTTCAGAAACCATTAACAAAAAACAGCACTCCTTCAGCCTGGTGCAGCTAATTTGACCATTGGCCCAAAAGCTGCGTTTCACATTGGTCAGAAATGTCTGGTGTCTTTAATGAAACCACTCCGAGAGCCCTGCAGTGAGAAAAGGAGAAGTGCAAATGTCACGTGCATGTGAAGCAGACACATCGGAGCACATATATACTGAACTGCGAAGGTGCTCAATGCCAAAACAAATGAACAACAGTTCCCTAAAGAGAGCCTTTAGGGTTGTCGGAAGTGGCAGATAAAGAAGTGTCAGCACATCTCTTGACACGGTAGGCCACACCCTTCCACTAGAGCTACACCGCCTGCAGGCCTTCGTCTTGCACAGCTCAGGCTCTGCCTCTCCTTGACGGATAAACGGTAATGACCCTTCTCTAGTGTGAGCCAAAACAGAAAAATATTTAATGTTTTCTTGCACTGTTTACGGAGACACTGTGGTTCACAGGTACCTATGGTACCAATGTATTGATACTAGTCTTGTTGGGTCATCAGTACTGTTAGCAGGACAATGTACAGTCACATTACTTGCAAAAATAAATATCTTCTGAGGTTCTAATTGGCTAGGACAAATGATTCAGTAAAGACAGGACTCCAGTGACAACACTCCCCCCCAAAAAATCATCCATCCATTCTAATTGCTTTATTCAATATAGGTGCCCAGGGTGTACAGGGACAGGCTCTATCCCCGTCTCTGTATTGGATGAGGCGGTTAGAAAAGGGAAGGAGGAGGGGACGTCCATTAAGTTAAAAAATGATATCAACAGTAGAACAAATAGCAGCAGCGTAGTAATGTAATCAGCCTCTAGTTCAAAAAAGGAAGTTTATGTTGCCTAAATCCTTACAACAGAGAACCAACACTTAATCAGTACCACTGGAGGCGGAATGCTTTTGTTTCAATTTAATTCCACTGTTCCTTCCCCCCGCTATATTTTTGATTTCCAGTCACTTCACCTTTCAAGAGCAGGATGCAAGTACAAACCAGGAGGAAAGTGCAAGCTGCTGCACGTAGGCAACAGAAGCAAGAAACCTCTTCATTGCCAGAACAGGGGGAGGACGTATACAATAAAAACAGTAGATGCTACAGGCAATACTTAAGACACATTCTTAACTCAGCGCAAGGTTGTCTTGAAACAATGTTCAAGCTGTCAAGAGCTCTTCGACTTTAACTGTCCTTAAACAGAGCCTCTGAATGTACATTAGGCCTTATGACATTGACGCCACTGTAATGCAATGTGTGTGTTATCCTCACTGTATTTAAAAAAAAATCATCTGTGCTTAACTCACAATCTGAAGCTTTTGGAGTTTTTTTTTTGCTAAACTTGATTAACAAAATCTTGTATGACTTCAGCAATATGTGGAGATGCTGTTATGTAATTTTCCTGTCCTGGAATTTGATTGGAAAGCGGGGATTACCACTTGAGTTTCTGGCTTTGGTAACAGCTGGTGGTCTAGAACCAGCTGGTGTCATCGAGCAGGTTACTGGCTTAACTGGACAGCATGAACAGCTTCTTCCTGCTCTTCTGGTGCGGTTGCCTTAATGAGACAGGACCAAGACTGGACACACCAGGCCTAGACGTCCTTTCCAATACTACCATCTTCAAAACTCTGCAAATTCACCCTTAACTTACACCTTATTTATCACAGCAAAAACAAAATGCTGGCAAAGATTCAAAGACCGTTATATAACTTGCCAGCTGCTGTGACTGTAGTCTGTGGCTCTTGTCCAAGAATAGGAAAGTACCCTGCTACAGTACGTGCAAGTTCCACAAAGTGAAAGTTTCACAGTGAAATTGCAAAGGAAGTACCTTCTGCATGAAAGAGGGCGTAGTTTGGAGAACAGGACAGCAATACCAATATCTGGGTCAGAAAATGGCATGTGAGTTTTAAACTTCAGTGTTGCCCTGCCCTTAGATACAGGGCTGAAGATGTGAGTGGCCAACCAGAGGTCACAGCTATATTCTGTGCTTTCACTGCCTGGTCAGCTAGACGCTCTGGGGTTCTGAATAATCACAACCAGCACGACACAAGGCCAAGTCAAGACTGGTTCCCGACATAGCTGAGAGTGGGGTTTAGATTTTATTTAGTCCAGCTGAAGATTGCAGTTTATTTTTCATTTCCTTTGTAAGCCCTGGGAGTCCTTTGGGTTTGGCATTTCCTTTGTTTCTTTCCTGAAAGAGTATCCTCCTTTTCCTTAAAAAAAAATAAGGCTTTCACTGCTTTGCAATGTGGTTGAAAAAACAAAACACTAAAAAACAAGGGGAAACTATGATCATTGTATAAAAATGACATCCCCAAACCAGCCTTATTTATTTTTTAGCAATTCTTTCTCATAATAATGATCTTTCTAAAAGTAATAGCAAATGATTTTAGTATCTTTATTAATTTAAATTCTAAAGTCACTTTTAGAATTAACCTTGGGTCTTTAGTTTTTTTTTAATGTTGTTGCCATGGGAGACCAGAGTCTGGCACAGTGGAATTATGGGACAGAGGCACAATAGATGTTAGGCATGCTGTCATTCATTAACCTTCCTCCAGCCGGAGAAACGGCAATCTACCTCCGAAAGCCACCTCTTTCTCAGAACACTTCTGGCGATCCTGCCCATGTAACCCTGGAAAACAAACATTATAACTGACCATCCCATGTGTTTCGCTTGGCAGCATCACGTACTGCGTCGCGAGAGGTATTTGAACAATCAGGAGCGTCTCTGGAGGCTGAATGAACTGCAGGTTCCATTGCACTTTTCATTGACTCAGCAGAATCAAAAGGTGTGGAAAAACTGTTCATTTGGAAAGGGAGGAATTGGAGCAAATATTGCCTTTGCAATTGTCCCTTAAACACAGAACATTGATTGAGGATGAGGATGAGAATGAGATCTTCAGAATCAGGTTTTAAAGCACAAATTATGTGCTTACCTGACATCCTCCTGTAGTCCTCTCAGACCCCCTGTACAGTAAGCATGGCTCTGCCTGTAGTTGTAAGATTTCTCCCTGCTAACGAGGCACAGCCATGATTAGCTGATTGAACAATTCAGTTTCCTATAAATATTAGTAAGTATGGATTAGCTTTAGCTATTATTTGGGCCAAACAGAAACATCTCAATTTAGATTGAGTCTGTTTCAAAGAACCTACATAAAAGCAGAACTTTACTAGAAATGGCGAAGTTTTGTCTTTTGCTGTTATTGTAAAGAAAATGGATGGATGGAGTACATAACAAAAAATACAAATTGTCTGTGACATATAAATTACATGACATATGGTCTGGTGATTATAGACAAAAAGGTTCATTACCAGGATGGCTGGTTCCTGCTTCAAGTTCCCAGTTCTTTCACTCTGCATCACCTTTCGGACATTAGTTGAGATCCTTGAGTTCTGTGGGATGTGAACTAAGCAGAAGCTGTTGAAACATCTCCCCTTGCGCTCTGTAAGAAGCTTCTCAAAGACTTATTATACTCACGTTTTTCATGAACAGTTTCATACTTTAAAAACAGACTTAACCTAAGGAGTTTCAAATCTAAGGAGGCCATTGCAGGTTCTTCGGCCCAAGAACCTCATTCAGCTGTTTTTTGAAAGAAACTAAGGTATCCGCTTCAACAGTATGACTGGATAGCTTGTTCTATACTCCCACAACACTTTGTATAAAGAAGTACCTCCTTGACTCAATTTTAAATACACACTATATATAATACTTGGGTATTTACTGCACTTTCCCAACCCTGGGCCTTTGCTTCAGTCCATTGTCAGACTGGTTTAAAGTCTAGCTGGAGTCCTATCTGAACGAATAATTTAATTAATGTTTTAAATGAGTTTCAGCTACGAAAAGGCTGCTAATTTTAAGTAAAATTAACTAAGCTTATCTTGAAATCATCAGCACTGTTAAGGGCAGAAACAATAGGATACAAGTTCAAAGTTGTCAAAGTATGAGTGGAATAAAATCTAAATATTAAGAAAGGAGGCGACAACACATGTACTGTAGATGATTAACACCAATAATCATTAAATGGCTCACAGACTGCACAGGACTTTTGGACATTTTTGTAAACCATTTCCATGATGTTATATCTCTTAGAAACAAGTTATAGCAATACTGGGCTGTAAAATCAGGAAAATATCCTTAAATCATTTATAAAAGTGTTTGAAAACTACTAATTCCTACCAGTTTTAGAGCAGATGAAACACCGAATAAAGAGCTACACTTGATTTGGTGAGAGACTGACCATGTATATCACACATTGGAAAAACCCTTCAAAATAACAACATACAGAAAAATTCAATCCAAAGGAACTAACTACGAAACTAGTTAAAATAAATGTATACTACTATAAAACTGAGACCAGAAACTGCTTTGCTGGAAACTGATCTGTACCACTTCCTTCTAAAGCAGAACTCATTTACAACTGAAGAACTAAGGCATGACCGCTGCAAATACATTTTTGCATATGTTACATATTATTAGTACTGCTATTTGTACACCTTCCTAATTTTTTAATGTTAAAAATTACATTCAACTTCATACTTCAACTTTACATAATGTTTTACACAATGTGACATAAACATTCATAATGTTTTTTAATCTGGTTGTTAGCACAATTTATGTATTTGTGTCTACTGTAGGCTGTTATTTATTTTGGAAGAGACGGAGGAATACATTACTGCCACACTGAGTGCAAGAAACAACGATGATTGAGAGGTGCGTTCGATGTTTGTTTCCATTAAAAAGTAGTGAAGCTGCTGCTAATGATGTAGAATCGGGCTTTTGGGGTTGATATTTTCTTGGAGACAAGAGAAACAATAGCCTTTTGGCTAAGTAAAGCATAACGTACCTGACATCCTGGAGAGTGTGATCAGTAGTTATTTGTTTTTGCCTGAAAGAGGTGAAGTCCCTCTCACCCCCCTGTACGCTAATGCTTTCCTCAGTCTCTCACCGGTCGCTCTGGGCTGGAGGTCAGGCTTGCGATATATACTGTACGTGCCAGTGGTCATCATGAACTGCGCCCACTCTCGGGTCAGTGCGGGGAGTGTGGAGACCAGCACCCCTCCAAAAAATGTACCAGCAGTAAGCACAAGCACAGCATTAATACGAAAAACCAATATTTGCTCGTTTTGTAATCCGAAGTACCGGTAGAGAACAGAGACATAGGAACAAGAGCAATCAGTGCTGCGTGGTGATACAGTACGTTACGTGGGCTGAGCTCAGTTGCGAAAACTACAATTTTTGTACCTTAACAGAAGCCTACAATACACATTTATCCATGTGTATAAGCATGGATAAGCACTGGGAAGGGTCCCAAGAGCTGGGAGGCAGCAGTACCAGCTGCCCCGCCACCATGATGCTCCTTAGTTAAGAATCCAGCTTTCCAGCACGAACCTAATTCTAATCAGAGTCAACCAGCAGCCTCAGTTAAGACAGAGAAGAAAAAATGAAACCAGCATAGTTCACTCTGGGACACGGATCTGGGGGAAGCACAGCTGACTCTGCGCAGATGAAAAGCATGTCTCTAGGAGAAAACTGTGCACAGCCCTCTTGTGGCTTTTTCAGCACAGCTGCATGAATTTGACAAGGGCAGATTCCAAATGGCAGGGCGGAGGGGGGCATTCCCAACATGTTTTAAAACAATACAAAAACAAGAGAGACGCCGGCCACTTCAGGGAACGTGAAGAGCCTCACTTCAAACTCCATGAAGAAATAACTGCACTGGCCATGGAAAATGAACATAAATATGTGATAACTCATGTCATTGAAAACGTGTCACACAAATGTTCTTTTTCTCCAAAGGGTTTTATTTAAAAAAAAAAACTCTTTTCAACATTCCAGTGTTTCTAACAAAATGTATTCAGACCAGATGACAAAATTACAAAGATTGTCAACCATTCTGTTTTCTTTAAATACAATTTCCATTGGATTACGCACCTGCTCTAAATCTGAGCGCCCATAAAAGCTTGCCTAGACTATTGCAATCTATTTCCAGAGAGTGTTTCATTCTTATTCAGTCATTAAGAAGGGATAAATGCACAAATGTAAATACAACCCCTCACCCAATAACCCCTGTCTCAAATTAAAAATATTTTTTTTAGCTTAGCTGTAAAGTTAAAACAAAGCAGAATTTAATTCTTGACTGCAGGGAGGATACAATAAAAAGGAAAAAACATCCAGAAGTTCTTTTTAAGTCGCAGAGGTCCTTATGAACAGCAGTAGAAGTCAGAATTGGCTAGTTCTATTTCCCAGCACATTACCAGAAGTGGGTTTAAAAAGATCTGTTCTATACCAGCATGATTGCATTCCAACAGCTGGCAGAGCTACATTTTAAAGTGGCTATTCGGTACACTCGGAAGAGAAATGGGATTTGCTTTTGGAACCATACAGTGACTTTTCTCACAATGGTTCTGCTGGATTCAGGCACACAGGAAACCACCTAAGCTTTGAATCAGACCAGAGGATGTTTTGAAAACTGCTTTACCCAAACACTGGCTCTGGAAACAGCCTCAAGTTTCTAACAAGTTACATCCACTGAAATCAGACTTCAGTTTGCAAACAGCTACCAAGAGCTGAAGAGATTCACATTTTCTTTGAGAGAACTCCACAATGACTATCATACTGTATACATGGAAACAAGAAAACAATCACACTGTGCCATCTGTAAGATTAAGTTTTGTTCATTAATAAATGTAACCTATTAGGTCATAACAGGTTTACTTTTGTCTTTTCATGATAAAATGCAGGAGGCTCTTCTTTACAAGTGGAGATATAAATAAAAATGCACAATTACAAACATGGTATTTCCCCCTTAAAAGTTTCCCTCAGAACATCTGTGCAAGACGATACTTCAATCTTCCGATTAGGGTATCTCGCTGAAGCCAGTGAATATACATACAAAATATGTTAACAGCTTTCTTAACGGCTTGCAGTTTTTTTCCATCTAATTTTTACTGTACATTAAAATGAAGAATTCTAGTTGCTAAAACCTGTTTGAGATAAGAAACGTGACATTGCTCTGCAGGTGACCGCGACGCTGCTCTAATCAGAGGGAAATGCAAGTCCTCATAAGCAGCAAAACAGGAAAAGCTTGGAGTTTGAAGGGCTGGAGTTACCTAGGAGAACTGATTGCTTAGAGCTGCAGCACCTGGTTAAAAACAACCGCCTGTTTAAACTCTGTTTTGTTTTAGTTTGTGCTCTCAATTATTTTACATGCCCTGCTGCTTGCTACTTAACTATGCAACTTAAAACAAAATGAAGAAAGACTGCCTCCATTTTTTTGCCGTGTGCTGGAAACATTGCAAACTTCAGGATGACTGCTGTGGCCAGCCCAGCGTAAATTCCTGCAAGCTCTGTAAAAACGCAGATTTCCCTCGTCTCTATAAAGAATCTCAATAAATTAAACACCACAATTCGTACAGGCTCTTTGCTCTCTTTTATTAAAGAGTTACGCTACATATAGGACTATACATTAGAGCTTCTAGCTGTATTTGACTTCCAGCCCGAGTGTTGCTGGGTATAAGATAGCAGAGGAAGTGTTTCTATACGCTCATGAGTATGTATATAAAAGGAAACAAAAGGTGAATTTCCCGTTAAGGAGTTGTAGTTTTTTTTCTCTCTCTGTGGTCTATGTACAATAATTTATCTGAGCAGTTATTCTAAAAACACCGATTTCTTTCTTCACTCGAGATTCTAAGTCCTTCATGCGCGTCGGCAGGAAGTTGTGGATTCTGCAGGCAGGAGCCGGGGGAGTCCCCTCCCGTCAGATCTTCAGGCTCTTCAGGCAGTCGGCTCTCTTCTTCAGGAGCTCGCCCACCTCCTGCAGGGAGCGCAGGTAGCTGCTCTGCACCTTCTCCATCACCGTCTTCGTAAACTTCCGCTCGTCCTGGAGAGAAAACACCGACAGCGTGCGGGGGCTAAGGTCCGGTGTGTGACGTGATGATGCACATCACTTCTCTTTGCTGTTCATCCTGATATATACGACATTATCTGATGTTAGATGCGCTAAACATAAAAATAATTTAGAATTATTCCCGGACTCTTGTACAGACGCCTGGAGAAGTGTAAAAGAATTGTGCTTCCTACAGCAGATCAATGAGACTTACAGTCACGTCGTCATACCACAGCGTCTCTGTGCTACCCGCCACTTGACAGGACAAACCACATTTCAACACCCTCGCTCTTTCAACGATGCAATCAATTCAACTTAGCGTGGCAGGTTGACGCTGTTGATTGCGAATTTCAAGGGAGATTCCTGTGTGAACAGGGCTGGAGGATTTAACAATGAGATTTTATTAAACACTTGATTGCCATCAATTAACCCAGTAATCTTTTTGACAATTTGAAGTGTACGAGTACACCAAAATGCATACTCCAGGAGAATAAAGGGTAAAAAAAAAAAATCGCAAATGAAAAATTTGATGAATTAGAATTTACTCTAGTACCAGCAAGAAGGCTCAACCAAATGTAAAATGGATGTAAACAGAGTTTTAATACTGAAAAATTTTACTGACATGATCTCATCTTGGAGTATACTGAGACCAGCTAGACAACTTTAAAAAGCAAGTTCCCTTATCCAGGCTGTAATCTGTAAAACTACCTGGAAGAAAGAAAACCTCCAAATCAGCCACAGCAGACCAGAAAACAGGAACTTCTGTGATTTCACAGGGCTGCTTTTGTACCTTAGTTTCAATTTAAATCCTCTTGTCATTAAGCAATAATGAAAATTTTAAAATGTTCTCACTGTGAGTAAAACATTATTTTTGAGGTTTTTTATGTTTAATTCCACTGTGCACTTTGAGGTCTTTACCAGAATTAAGTTATACTTAGGCTACAGACCAAAATCATAACCTTGACAATTCAGAATTTGTAACTCAAAGTCAGCTTGCTGATGCAAGAGGCCTCCGCCTCAAAGAAGGGCACACCAACAACCAAGTAACCAGTCTGAAGAAAATGTGCCACCTTATCACCTTGGTGCCATCAGAGCCTTTTGAAGGACTACTTTGTACAAAACATTCTTGACGGTGATCAGATGTTGTGCATGTTGAAGTCACACCCAAAA